TCCGCAACCTGTGGACCCGCTTGGTAGCATCCAGCTTAGCCCCAAGAATATAAGATAATTTAATAGAAAAACATTATGTACTAATAGCACGATATAATTCATCAGAATCAGCATAAATAAAAATTAAATTTATTTCAAATATCTACACACTGCATATACAATTCATGTTTCATATTCTACTTAATATGTAATTCTTGTATTGTAAAATCTGTTTTAAAGACATGATATTCGAGTAAAGATGATCGTATAAGATCGAAAATTCCCTATTATTACATAAAGAAATATTTAAAAAATAAACTTCTACATTTGCTTGATTTATTAGATATGTTTTTGAAAGAACAAGATAAATTTGATTATCCAATAATTGCATAGTTGATTCATTGGTTTTGTTGATCGTTGAAAAATAGTTTGCTTCATTAATATCAATTTGATTTTTCTTTCTCTTCAAAAGATTCTCTTCAAATGGTTCATTGAATGCAAGAAGTAGTTTATTATCAAATTGTTGCTAATTTTAATTAAAAATAGCCATTCATGTTCAATGGTCAAGTTTATTCAATGGAATTTTTACGGAAAAGATTTCAGTTATTTATAATGTAAACAATAAGCATGGTTCATTTGAATGATTTGGAACTACGTTTAAAATTTCAAAATCAAAACTAATAATTAATGATGATTGATAATTATCTATTGATAAAGGAAATCCGCTATTATCTTCTGGCAACCGTGATTGATAATTATCTAGAGTGTATGAAGCATCAAGATGATACTCATTTACAAAATCACACAAAACTGTCTTCGGATTTGTATTAATATTGATTAATTTCGGCAGTAACAACGGTTTATATCCATTTGAACTAAATATGAATTCATACCAACCAACCAACATTTAAATATGGTACTTGAACGGTAACAGCAGGAAAATAAGATGGCTTATGGCCAAGTAGTACCATATTAGTTTCTAAAAATTTTACATTTAACCAGTATGTGATTCGAATATTTTCACCGTTAATTTCGATTCTCCATCCTCAAATATCATTGTTTAATCCAACGAACTTCTTCAAATGGAGCAATGAATTCACATCGCTGTACAGTGTACCAGGTGATCCATCATGCGACCATAAATATTTATCATCGGTCACACCATTACCATTGCTAAGCAAAGGCGCAAATCCTGTTGTTGCATAACCGATTGGCAATCGAACACAATAGTACCATTTAGGTTCAGTCAATTATGACTTATCAACAATGAATTTTGGAAATACTTCAGTCTCATTTTCAGTAGTTAAACAGATTTCTCTATTAAAATTGATAAAATACTCAAGTTATTATTTCCAATTCGACCACATTCAAATAATGCCATTTCTAATTTCAATGCATAAGGTTTTCATCCATTATATTTTACTACACTTGTCGATAAAGAATTGACGATCAATGACTTTCGATCGATCTCATCATGATTCCAAATAAAGTATTATCTTAAATTTGCATAATTGTTATCGGTGGAGATGTTTTATTATTACTAGTACTAGTACAATTATCATTTTCAATTTCTATAATTTATTTGAATTCTAATGCATTATCTAAACTCAAACAATATTATTCTAAATGTTTTTAATTGAATATACTAAAATCAACATATAATAAATAATTTCTAAATAAAGAATTCGAAATTGATCATTTAGCGATAAACGATGCATAAGATTTTCGCATGAAAACTTCAATACGATTTCTATCATTTAATATATAACTTAAAGCTAACATAGAACGACGTTTTAATTCTAGTGATGCAAAAGAATCTGTTGTTGATGTATCGATTTGTATTATATATCCTAGTGCATCAAAAAGTAAGCATATCATAAAATTGCAATCATTGATGATAATTATCAATAAGAATAAATTCGATGGTATAACATCGATTTCAATTCGTAACTTTTCAGTTGCAATCTATTCAATTTTGTTTGTTTTTAAATATTGAATAAAATAGGGTAAGACTTCACATGGATTTGAATTTTCATCATTTGTATCAATATCCATAATTATTGCTAGATCAAATTTGTTGCTTTCTTCATTTGGATAGGTGCGGACAATCGAACCTAAACAGTATGGTTGAATATATCCGTCCAAAATACCTAAAATGGTGTTGATGATTTTAAACGATTTCAACTTGCTCTCATTTACATATGATACAATAATATTGCAAACGAATTCTATTGCCATCATTTGTCATAATGATTTTAAAAACATTATTGTGCGATAGATAGTTATCAATTCGGTAATTATTTTCGAAGTCATATTCTCTTTCATAAAATTATTGCCAGTTGAGACTTAAAGTTCATCTAATAGATTTTTCATAGTCATGATTTCTGTTTCATTTGTTGTTGCCGGTAATAATGGAATTAAATTGCGTAAAATTTTTGATACAAATAAAACTGTAATATGATTTTTATTACTACGATAAATATATAGTAATTCTTCAATATAAACCATATTGGCACAAATCAATCGAACATGATCATATAAATGAATGTCTCGAAGTAAAAATACTAATAATTGATTTGTACAAAGTTCAATATCGAATTTCGATGATGGTTTACTTGAATGAATTGATATATCATTTACAACTGTTGCTAATTTAATAAACGAATCGATAGAAGAATTATTTAATGAATATTTTCTATCGAACTGTGAATTTCATTTTTTACATCAGTTGCTAGTGATTGTCCTAATGCGTTCAATTCATTTAAATTTGTATTACTTTATAAGTCTAACAAAAATCTATTAGAAGCATCTAGCCAAGCTTGTATAGCTGATGTCAATGCTTATAAACAAGGTTTGATACCTATTGACATCCAAGCTATTTTTCAACAGCAAACATCAATCAAACAAGTCAAAGTTAGTACCTATATCAACAGCAACAATATGTACAACATGAAAGCCAAGTACTGTTGAAAATCCGACGTTTTCTCATATAAATTCATGTTATTCTTGTTTCTTGTGTTTCTCATATTCATTTGTTATTTTATTTAATCTAGTTGCTCAAAAATAAATACATAATTGATTTACCTTTATGTTTTGCATATATTTTGACAATCAAGATTTTATTTTTTGTCTATAGACAACAACTAACACTTTCATATGTTCGAAACATTTAAGACATGTATCACATCTCATGATCTACTTATAGAATAGCTGTGTAGCCTATGAATGAAATCAACAGAATTAAATAGGACAAAAAAGATACGAAACCTAGAAAAGGATCATAGCAAAAAGAAAGAGTAACTCAAATTAAATTTCTATTGAACAATATTAAAAATAAGACTTACTCGCTTTGGATGGATACAAATAATTGTACTCCTATTCAAAGTTATAACACATCCACACCCGCGTTATTATCATCTTTACAAGTTTCTTTTTTTTTTTATTCATATCATCATTATTCATATTTTGATTAATTTTTTATTAACAACATCAATGCGAATTTTAAATGAATTTAAACGAGAAGTATAAGATTTCTTTTAATTATTTTTTTTTCTAGTCAGTACTTCGAAAGGATCAATCTCATTACAGTTTATATATATGTATACATATACAGAGCATACATAATAATATTTATCTAAGCAAGTATCGATGTCATCTCAAATAACATAGAATCAATAAATTTTCTAACAAATAAGAGCTCGTCGAGAGTGAAACTTCAGGGAGATTTGATAAGCCATAGGGTTACTATGACGTTTAGAATAATAGAATATTTCGAAATTTGAGAAGTATAATCAGCAGCTATCAGGACCTTTTGTTGATTTTTAAATAAGTCTCTATGCACTTTGAGATAAGTCCTACGCAATCCCTCGGCACATATATATGTATACTTGCAGTGTCAGTGCACTTAAATATGAACGCAGTTAAGAAATCCCAAAAAAGTTCCGGTAATGCCTTATTGAAAAAATTCTTTCATTAAAATCATCAGCCAAGAGAACTATACCAAGTATGATAGTTAAAAAACTTTTTTAAAACCTTCGTATTTTTATCATAAAGTATCTATGAAAGTACTTAATTAAACTTCTCAATTTTTGAAATATTCTATTACTGTAAAGACCATAATGATTCTATAGCATATCAATGATACTTGCCTAGAAGAATATCATTATGCATCCTGGATAATATCTTTATAATCTTTATTTTCTTGCTTCTATATTCAATTCTTGTTCGTTATAGATTTTTTCGTCGCATGTAACATAATCTTTAATCATTTGTACGCATAAAACCATTTTATTTTTCTTGTCAAAATGGATGGAAAATACATTAAAAATAATTGTGTAATACTTGATGTGCATTCTTAATAACACGTTTTGGTCTTGTATGAACTACAAACCTGATAAAGTCATTTTCAATCTGTTGATAAATAGCAGAAAAAAAATTGCAAACAAGAATGTGTTTTGTAACCTTTAAGGGAACGAATAAAATAAATACTTGAACTTTATCAAAATTACCCATCCTAACTAGTGCCCAACGTGACTCACAGTCATCGCGGTGACGAACGTGATCGTGAGTTAAATTTGGTCATGTGTACTAAAATAGTCATATATCTTGTATTCGTGTTAACAGCATTAGTTTTCTCAGAACACAAATTTCATATTCTTAATTTATTGCAATAATTTATTGATCTTTTCTGAATGAAAATAATTATACATAGTTGTTACAGAAAAATTTAAAATTTTCTTCGGACAAATTACAATTGAGAGGCTTTTAATTTTTCTGAATTTTAATTTCTTCTGCGACACAACAAGAAACAAACATCGTTACAGAAAAGAAATTGCAATAAACTAGAAAGGATGATTATGACCAAAACACTTAGATCTACTGAGTACTAGTTGTAGCTCTTTGTGTGTACATCTGAAGAGGAATGTGATAAACCGTTGATCTTTATTTTCAAAAGATACATTATAGAATATTGCAAAAATCAGAAGGATCAATACTTAGTATGCTTGGTTTTTTTTGTTGCTTATTATTAGCTTGGCTTTTAACTTACACATTTCATTCTCAAGTCACTATAGAGAACATTGAGACAAACCACATTCTTTTTAGATCATTTATAGTCTAACAATTGCATTCTATGTGTATGCACAGATCAATAGTAATTCAGACTGTATAAGCGATTCCATCATAGGTATATATACTAGACATGTTGTTTATTATTTATTGTATAAGAATAAGATTTATTTACTGAATAAACATCAAAACTTAGTATGTTTCACCTATTCTTTTCACAGATGATTTAATCTAGAGGGCAATTTATTTCTTGTTTCAAATAAAAATGAGATGATATTGTATTCATTGCTTTTCTTTAATTTACAAATAAAATGGGACTCCTATTTCATCTCTCTGACAGCAACCACTTTACTTTAGAAGAGTATAAAGGATTGCCCTCAAAAAATTTAAAAAAATGATTTTGTTTTACATCAAACTTATCAAATTTGGATTTTGGGGTAATATGAGAGAGAGTATTTTATTTCTTTTCTTCCAATAGGTGCAACTGCTGCAATGATTCAATTCTTAACACTTATCGACAGCACATATTTATAAATGTGCGTTTAAATACATATATTGGATTACTTTTGAGTTAAGATTTTGTTTTAAAGAACAATGTTATTTCTGAGGATTTTCATTATGGATTTGACTCTACAGATCCTTAAAAGCATCAGCGTGTTAATAATAGTGTGTTGTATGACTCATCAAGGTAATTTTCTTTTAATGATCTCAGATATTAGAATTATTGGCTAATCATTAGACAAAGATTTTTGTTTGTTCATCATCAATGCAAGAATTTGTAATGTTCTACTAGAAAAAAGCTGTTAGTGCAATCTCAAAAAGATCAAAATGTGAAAACTCGGTTGATCTGTATATATTGTAAATTAAAGGATTCTACATCATATGCTTTAGTTTGAAACTTCCAACTTACAATATATGTCTATGATGAAAAATGCTATCCGTTACATGTTATAGTGAGTTTGGAAAGAGGATTCTTAAATTCCATCTTCTTTCATAATAATCCCAAAAAAGCTTTGCTTCCTTGATCACATCTATCACAGGTTGCGATAGACGACAGTGCTGCTAAAGTGTCTGTTACAGTTCATGTAGGATATAAATATCAAACTTGAAAGTTAAATTCAGCTTCATCCTCAAGTTTGAGATTATTGAAAAACTCAGGAGTTGTACTAGTCCGGTTACCGAGACCATTCACCGCGGTTAACCACCGATCTTTGTCGATTAACTGCGTTTACGGATAATTTTTTCGGATGACATAGATAGCTTCTACTTGACACTGAACTAAGAAGAATTATTATTTTTTTCTGAAAACTTTCGAGTTTTTACAATTTTTTTGCCATTTGAGGTCGATCAGACAATGTCGACATGTTGAATTTTCCTGAAACATCAATACAGCATAAGTTTGCCATTTAAGCTAGATCCAGTTTAGATCTTATTCCTGGTTTTTATTGATCACCAGTGAGAAATTCGCTTTTCTAAAATTAGTTTCTATCTAACTGAACAAACAACGAATCTATGAAAAACGAGAAAATGGCACTCTTCACAGCTAATGCACGATATTTCTGTTTCTATGTGCGATTTAAAGCTAAGAGTAATTCAGTATTTGCAAGATAGAAAGATCTTTCACTGCTTCCTTCCTCCAAAATCAATTTTCGATACAATGTACGGGATTTTTATGAAATTTTGTAAAGGTGTTTGACTAATAGAAGCACACTAACAAAAACTCCATACAATCGACTTCAAGCGACGATGCTCAACCTTCTCTCACTTGAAAGAGAAATCCTTATCGCTTCGAATGAGAGGAAAAATTTTTAAATTAATTTTTGACGTTCTCAAAATCTTGGACAAATTTTTCTAGAAAACTCATGAATGATTTGATATTGAGAGTGAAATATAAATCCTTTTCTCTCATTCGAATAAAATAGATTTTCGAAAAACTTGTCCAAACTTTTTTTCCATGTTTACATGAAGAGCTTCCTTACATGATTATATCACAATACTAATGAGAAATCCATGTAGAGTATCATTGAGTAGCGTCCTAGCTAGATGTTGGAGACAACAACTGTGATTGCACTTGAAATTTTCTTATGGATTTAAGTATTAGTCTTTTTACCGGAGATTTCTAGATACTCATCATGAATTCTGAAGACATTTTGAAAAAGCCGGAAGTCATCTGTATGAATTTTCAAACTAGACATCTTAGAGATCATCCTTATGTGTTTATCTCAAAAAAATGTCTGTTTTTTTAGAAAAATCGATTGTTTTGGACGCAGAAAGTCGTCAAGAGTTTTCAATAAAATGATGTTTGATTGTCATTCTTTTAGTTACAATGGCAACTACCTCAGAAAATGTTACAGATAAGGATATATGTCATGTTTACGGTGATCCGCATGTTATTCGTTTCTCACAACAACCAAAAGTATTACAAAACCAATATTGGTGTAAAATATCAGGTGTACATCGTATTCTTAAAAATGAGTATATTGAAATAATAGTTTTAATCCCTAGACGAACCTGGTTGATAGATGAAGTAAGTTTGACTATTGAAAAAATCCTTTATTTTTAAATACTATTATTATTAGTTTATTATAATGTTTTTCAAAGACAATGAAACATTATGTACAATTAATAATAATGAACAGCGTTGTGACAGTCCAGGTAACGATCAGAATTGAGGTCTATTCTTATATTTATCAATCCGTTGAAAATAGAATTCAAAGTAACTCGTCCAAGTCTATCACAAGTTGATATTTTATATCTAACTCCTCGAATACATATTTCGATTGTTCCACATCAATATGAAGTAATTGAATTTCGTATGCAAAATTAATTGATTGATTTCATATCGTATTTTACAGTTACAATGGTATGATATAAGCGTCCGTATGACTTATGAACTAATACAAAGATCAAGTGGTCTTTGTATTATACCATCCAGTGAGATTTGTGAAATTGAAAATAGTATTGAACAAGAAAAAAATAATATTAATCCGTTGTCCAAATCAATATGTATGCAGTACTTAGCAGCAAGCATTCAAGCATCTAATGAGTTAGGCCTTTTTAATGATCCAGATAGATATAATAATGCTTTGATCGCATGTATTCATGATTATCAAACAACAGGAAATAAAAATGTAAGAAAAATTCATAAAATTTTCTTCTCTTTCTATCATTTATATTAGTTTGGTGCAAGTATAGTGCATATGATTATTAAATATGGAATTCATAGACAGCAGCTTGAAGATTTAGAATTTGATTTACAAACAAATAAAAGCATGAGCATAATCAGTAACGCTGTGATTAATGCAAATATTCAAGCAGACATTCTTCTTGCCATGACGACACAAACATCAGTAAAAGATACAACAACTGACGGCAAATTATCATCGACTAGTAGTACAATAGCATTGACGAATTTCAGAACAACGACATCGAACTGTTCGATAACTGCTATGTCAACTCATATCGTTCTGAGTTTATTCATATTTTCATTTTTCATCAAACTGTTTATATCTTTATTTAAAAACAATTTTGATTTTTAAATTTAACATAATATATAATTATTGAACATGACAATGAACAGTAAAATCTCACTATGTGAATACCTCTTAATACTGAGCGATCTATAGTTCTCATAAGCAAAGTTTGCTAGGAATGAGCCTTTCTAATACGAGTAATAGGTGCTCATTTCCGTTTCCATGAGCAATAAAAGGCTCTGTAATATGACCTATATATGTTCTATCACTCACACGCCACAAGATAATAAAGTGATGTTATATGTAGGACGTTATGACAAACTATCATGGGATACATAAGAAGGAGATGGATTAACCGTGCATATTTAACACAACAAACACGTGATTTTGTCTATTCACGTCACGATTATTTTCTTGAATTCGATATGTTTGTGTCAATGTGTTGGTGCATTGAGACGATATGAATACAGATTTAATAAAGTGAATCTGCGATCGCTTCAGGATTGTCTACTTATGGTTTCGTCTACAATTTGATGTATCCAGGCGTCACTCTAACCATCGTACAATGAAGCCATGAAGAAACATATTTATTGTAAAAAATTCATTCTGTCGCTTTATCGATCACGATTTTTCTCTACTTTGATCATTCCTCTACTTGTCTACTCTTTCTGCAATCTATAGGCTTTCTTTTTTTCTTTCGCCACGATGTACATGGTCTAGAAGGATTACGAAAACAAAAAAGTCAACGCTATTTGTCTAGTATTGATTATCGCTATTCACTATAGATTTTGTTCATCCTTGATAAGAACGAGACAAACGAAGACTCATGTAGTCGACTGCGATTTGTTGGTTATTTTGTTGGCGATTAGTACTGATGTGAATCGAGAGAATGTCGCACAAGGATGAAATATGGGTAGCTCGCTTGCGATTTGTCATCAAGATCGATTAATAGTAGACTTGGCTGGTGGAGGAATCGATACATCGAAAGGTTTTTGTTGCTATCGCTGCGGCACTTTGTGCTCAACAACGTCTTCTAGACTATTTAGCAACAGTGACGCGCTTCTGGCCAGTAAACAGACAGAACGGAAAAGAGAATACGACTGTCGCAGATATTCTGCCACATTGTGATGGTGTGCCTGATGTTTTGGTCTTTTCGTTCGACCAATATTTGCATTGACATATGGATGTTTAGCTGATGAACTCGCATGACGAGTTGATCCAAAAAAGCGAACAATCGGAGAATTTATTCGAGAAGAAATCATCGATCAAGTACAAACTGAATTCTACATTGGTCTTCCGTAAGAATTCGAACAACGTATATCACCGCTGCTTTTCACCGATGTCGAAGGAATCTTGAATGGATCCATGTTGGCATTGTATCACTTCTACAATGAAGCATGAACACATCAAGCAGAAATTCCGGCTGCAATCTGCATCACTAATGCACGATCGTTAGCTGACATTTTCACCTCGCTTATTGGCAAGATCGATGATCGAAAGGATAGTCAATTATTGCAAGCGGAAATCTTGCAACGAACCACAACATCGAACACCTTGCCGAACGATATCGATCTCATCTTGCAAATACCATTTCCTTTCGGTATGGGTTTTACGCTTTACAAACAAGATTTCTCGATGTTCGAACCAAAATTATTTGGTCATATCGCTAAGATCGATCTGTAGATAATTGAGTGTCGATAAACCGATAATTTCTAGGAGCGGGAGATAGTATTGTATATGCTGCACCACTCAAGAATTTTTTGTTTGCCTACGTCAGAAATTGATTCAATATAGAGCATCTCATTATACACAATGCTCAAATCGGAACAATGCTTGACGACAAACATTCGAACTGAATCTTTTCTCAAGAAAGAAAGAAATCCAAGCATCTCAAATTCTTCTCCTGTTTGAATACGTTAGCTAAAGGATTCAATTTTTTTATTAATCGACACTCGGTCGAAGAGCAAATTCCACCATGATATCGTATAACATTTGAATTATTCCTACGTGTGACATCGAGTGCTATCTACGGCTCAGACAATACTTTATCATGTGAAGAATTTATTGAGTGAATGCTTTCTTTGGTTCAGTTTAGATACGTGTTTCTCATCCGTTTATATCATCGAGGTAACTTGAATTCTGACGTTTGGCGTATAAGAAAAACTACGCTGTTGAATATAAGACAGATAGCTTGAGTATTTTTGCTATTTCTGTCAGTGTTTGTGGTGATTCATCACAGCGGTATTCTGAATCTTCGAAAATCGCTCTTTGATCAGGAGATCCAAGATACTAGAAACTTCATCGATCGATCATGTTGATAGCAAATGCTTCGCTATATAATATTGCATACATACTTCGACTTATGCGATCAAGCAAGGTAGAGTTTTCATCGAATGATGACGATTTATTTGGTATTCAATCATCGTAGGATTGTATTCTCACAGTAAAAAAAGAACTTGCACTATTTCATTTCGTAACTTCATGCCGTGTTTGTTATACAATCTTAGGATCGAACCAGAGCATGGCATAAATTACTCTTGTTTTCATTGGCAAAATCCACCCCATTGCTCTCCTACTCAATAAAATTACGCAAAAGGTTTTGTTTCAACGATATTCGTCAAAACTAAGCTTGTATACTGAAGATGTTTTTGTCAGTTGATTAGAAAAGACTTTTGGATATGGTTTAAAGACAACAAAAAGATACTTCTCACTCGTTGCAGATGGACAAAAACAATGTATGTGAGACTTTTCGAATGACAAAACATTTTTTTTTTGAATGCAATGGATGATTTTCCGTGCTTAGTCAATATATACAATGAATATAATGGATTAGTACGAACAAAATCACTAGTAGTTGGGCAAGTAAATTATGAAATTTATCCATCAACATAGAGAAACTTGTCAATAATGTGTATTCGAAGAAGAAGGAAAGAAATAACTTCCAGTTCGGTGACGATGGTTTTGTCTTTTGGAACGTGAATATAAGTGGTTTGGTAACGAAAGACAGTTTTATCCTAATTTAAAAGTACCAAATTTCAATGAATTGCATTGTTTCATACTACAATGTTGCAGGAATTGACTCAAGAACTATTTTTTATGACTTTTTGTTGCATTGTTTTCTTCCAGTGCACTATGAAGTCCTTGAATCAAACCTTAAATAACATTCACCTGTGTATTTTATCAACAATCATTATGATGCATCGCTCGATGGAAAGATGAAATTTCTTGTAAATATGTTCGTTCTTATCTAGTAGGACTCAATTTGCGCGGCTCCTATTGTGGGAGATAACAAGACAATATAGTTATATACGAAGTTGTTAAATAGACTACCATACGTAGCTGAGACATATTTGTATTTTTTTTTCTGTCGACAAGACATCGAAAAATGAACACTTTTATCATCGTTGTATTTTGGCTTGTGGCTTGCGTCGGTGAGAACAAGTTAAACGCTATGAAAACTCTCAAATTATGTCATTTGAAAATTTGTTATAGATGTAATCACATCTACATCCACCATTCGTACAACTACTGAATCTACTGCCGATCGATGCTACTTTTGTTCGATTTGTCCGCAACCCTTCCGACCAGACGGTGATTACGTCAGCACTACTGCTTCAGCTACGGGTTGGTGTGTTGTAAGTTCTATTTTTCAGTAAAAATCGTATGAAATGTTCATATTGAAATATTTCAATGTATTTATAGACAAAGAGTACTACGAATGAGAGTGATAGTACCTATGAACTAGGCGTTGCTTATGAAGGTCTTTGCCACAATGTAGGATGCTTGTGGACTGAAGCCGATGGAGTTCTCGAATGGGTATGTTGCTGCGATCAACACCTATGTAACGCTGGTATTCCAAAACCAATATCCACAACCACTATGACTGGTGGTGTCTCAACATTAAAATCAACGATCGTTGTGTTAATCAGTGTGCTAACAATGTTTGTTATAACTTGCAAAAGTATTTGAGTTTTTTCTGTTAATTGCTAAGAACTGTCACTATATTTTCATCAATATATCAGAAATAAATAATCGAAAATGAATGATCTACCATCTGATATTCAATGCCAGATTGAAGCAATTCAAAATAAAAAGTAGAATAAAATGCAGTAGTCTCGTGAAATGAAATCAGAGTCCACTTAAAATATATATCGATGAACAGGTAAAGATTTGAACAAAAACATGTAATGATGCTGTAGGAGATTAATGAAAAAAATTTATCTTAAATCAGAATATATCATTAGTTGAGCTACCACAGAAAGCAATAGTCGTTTAGTATGTTTCAAATTGTGTTTTGGTACATTTTAACGATCTACAACGAGATCTATTCGACTGAAAATCAGCAACATAATTTTGAAAGATAGGGAAAATTCTTTGAATCTTCAGAACTTGTGTTGACAAGCTCATGAATACAAATCTACGCATCACTCCTGTTTCAAATATTTAAATTCTCAAGCACACCTTTCAATCACCATCAAAACTCACTGTGAATGCCGATGTGTGAAGGTTACTGTAAGACACGCTCGCACTCACATCCATCTCTTGACATTCGATTAATCAAGTCTGAAAGAGTATATTGCTCGTCTTGAATATTATTTTGGGCTGGATGAAAATAGGACATTCATAACTATTGACGTGGTTGTCAATGTGCAGGAATTGATACTTAGTATCAATTTATCTTTGTCAGACTTGCATTGACTCAAGTGGATAACTAATAATGGTGAACCGTCCACATAGCGATATGTCGTGTAAGTTTGATTTTGATTGAAGACGGTCTTGAACGATGTGATGTACATATGTGTCTATCATTTTCTAGCACAAATTATAGAATGAAATAGGTTAACTGTTGTCATCAGTAAATTGTTTCATTAGATTTTTTTGATTCTATCTCCATTTGATGATTGTAACTTCTCTCGCCTGTTAAAATGTGGACCAACATCATTTGCAATACAATGTCAGTGGCATAGAAAATCTAATGTAGGATAGAAATGAAAAATGAAAACAGCAATATTTCGCTTTCGACTAACATTTTACGAATATGAATCAATATTTTTTAACATTCATTCTTTTGATGAGACCGAAAGCCAAATTTTGGAAAAAACGATATTTTCTTCAGAGATTTATTCGTTTTCAAAATAAGTATTTTATAAATAGCATCTATAACTAAACTAAGTTCATTTTTGTAGAATTTTATAGGAAATTAACTTGTTTTTTACTTAAAACAAACGTAACACTGTATACAACAACTCAATAGGAGAAAAAATTGAATACAGTAAAAATAAAACGGGAGCTTTTTTGTTTTAGGCCTTCAAGCAAAAAGTATTTTGTTAGTCAAATATTGATTGGTATCAAATATTTTCTAGATAATTCTTCAAGTACATTTGATGCAGAGTTTTAATGACAAATATAAGACCTTGCAATCTAACATAAAAACAGTCTATTTTTTTCTTTATTTTGTATCAATAAGCACTGATGTAACCGTGAATTATGAAAAGTAAAGCCAAGTAACCATGTTTTGAAGATTTTTGTACAATAAAATTGATTTTATTTTAATAATCCAGTCTCTATTCTGATTGATGCATCAGAGTTGATTAATACAATTTAATCGATCATAATAAAACTTCCGAAAAATATTATAGGCGAACTTTTACTATCAAACTATCGATGAATAATATCACAACAATTCTTACAATGTTTATGTATAACAGTGACAAATTTTCTAGGTCTTATGAAAAAAATAGGTCTCGAATTAGTCTCATATGTAAATAAATATACAAAGACAGTTCTTTATGACAAACACTATCTATCATGCAAAGTAAGAGTACTGACAGTTATATTTCAACGCCCGTTCGAACGAAAACATGAAAAAAATTGTCTAATTGAAGAAATATCAATAGCCTCAAACATACTAGAAAAACAAAACAATTTTATTTCGGTTTTCAATGAGGTATACGAATTTCGTACACTTCATCCTAGACAGTTAATCCACCAAGTGAAAATTAATCATAGATTTTATACTGTAGTGAAAATATAAGTATACAGTGTAGTTTTGAACAGTAAAATAGTTGTATTAATACTTGTTTAGCAAAGATGCTTTAGAAACGTATGATCCACATAAGATTTAATGAAACTAATATACTATTTCGAATTATTCACCTTATTCAAGCAATATTATTTTTATTCATTTGTCTAATAATTTATACATGTTTCATCGTTTGCTCTATTTAAGTGGTAATTAAATTGATGCATAAAAGATTAAATCATCTGGAAAGAATATTTGAAGTGTGTTTCAAATATTACACCAATCAGTTCGATTGATTCAGTTAATTTAATTCGTTTAGTCTATATGGAACTAAATACTTCTAATTCACTATTTGAGATTGTTAATTCAGAAATAAATAACATCAAATCAATGGTACTATAATAAGATGTATGTATTAGAAGTCAATAATTATCAATATTTCGTATATTTCGTTTTTAATTATTTATCCATTTCTCTAATTCGATAGAATCTGTTTCAGGAATAAGTTATGCTTTATAAAGGTTAAGAAAAAAAAATATTTTCAATCTTTTCATACAATGATTGTAACTCAAATAACATGTTTTTCGTTTTTCTTCATGTGATACACGTTACACTTTCCTTTGATGAAGTTAATAATATTTAGTTACTTATTTATTTTTATACAGAATATTATCCATTACCGTGACTCATTTAATCATAGTTTTTGTGCACAGAAATGCATTGATGAGAGCAGTACAGACAGGTTTTTTTCGTTATTCTATACAATATGTAATAATCGATTGAAAGGAAGAAAAAGCCTCTTCTCTTTTTTTTTCTCTTGTTTTTTTCTCGTTACTCAGTAGAAACTTTATTTCATTATTTGCCCGAGCTTATTGTAAAGGTCAAAGTGCGTATCATTGAAATGGAACACGAAGAAAAAAATGAGAAAGTGAATATGATGAATGTTCAAAACACAGTTGTTTCTAAACCATTATCAGTGACTCATGATCCTGAAATACAACGAACTCGCAGAGTTCTTCTAATCATACTCGGCGTGTGTCTTGTAAGTGTTTATTTTTCTTATAATTATGATTCAACAATAATGACGAAAAGTATAAGCTTTTTCTTTTATTTGAAATTTATATGAATTAGAAAATCTATATGACATAAACAAGAAAAAAAAAACAAATTTTCATCTTAAGAAAAAAAACACATTAATAATCATGTTTCAAAATTAAAAAAAATAAAAAGAAACTGAGACAAGGTTTCTTTTTTGAAGCATTCTCAGAATGAGAGCAAACCTAATTGGAGATAAGAGAAGAAATCGATTTAAAATAATGCATAATAGTTTCCATGTGCGGAAATGAGCATGAATAATAATATTCGAAGAATCTTTTTTACAATTGATATGATATATTAATCTTTTAGGCTCTCTGTTTAATTGGTTTAATTAATTCAATTTTCGGATACAGTTCTCGAACTGGTACAAATGAAACTAATCTTGGTGTACAATTGGGCCAAAGTATTATTTCAATAGCTTTCTACAGCTTTGGTATAATTGTCGCTTATCGATATTCTCAAATAGGTTTACGAGTGGTAAGAACTATCTCTTATTTCATTTTTTAAATTTACAAATCCTATGAAAAATCTTTGAAACAAGTCGATTTTGTTTTAATTTTGAACATAGATTTCATTCGATTTCAATAACTTTGTATAGCATAGTTTTTATCGACTAAACCTTCCTGATTAAAGAATCGAAGTATTTTCTAATCACATGAGTTATTTTCTTGAATGTATCTAAGACGTCGCTTTCATTAATATGTACAAATGGAGTACCACATTTGAACTAATTTCAGTTTTATTAAGCATAGAATGTTTAGAAATATTGTGTCTCAATCATTCGAATGAGAAGAATGAATTTCCTGATTAATTTGAAGTATAATAATCTGTTATTTTTCGAGGTCGAAAACACCTGCAAAATTATCCAATTTCAAAGAGATAGAATCTTGGTCACAAAAAAAAAATCTATTAAAAAAAAATAATACTCATTGAATAAAGCGTTCGCGTTAAAACTGATATTTTCATTTTCTATCTTTAGTTTGCTTGGCTAGGCATAGTTTCACTGATCGGTCTTGGTATTATAGTTGTGGTTCTCTTGCTTTTTAGCATTTTAGCTGTAACTGCCGGAAGCGTAGCTAATGATGGTGTAAATACGGCTCTTATGATTGGTGCATCAACTGCCGCTTTAATCCTTGTTTTTGTTATAATTTTTGCCTTTATTCTTACAGTAAGTAATTTATCTCCTTCATTTCTACTGATGCAATACTTCTTTTACATTACAGATTATCATTGTAAAATTTGCTTTCAAATTGGCCAGACTTATTGATACCAAGCAAACTGTAGTCATACAACAAATCTAATTTTTTGTTTATTCAGTAGTTTAATCATATTTTCTTGCATTCAACTTTTTATTGATTTTGATCTTATTTATTTCTTTATTATTTCTTCCTCGCCTAGAAATCTAAAAATAAATTTTAAAAATCTTTTCTTTGTTCATATTTTGCTGAATACAACAATTATTTATACTATTAAATGTTAGATGACAAATATATTTCACTTAAACTTACTAATTAGAAGAAATATAACTTAAACTATTATCGTACTTTATTGACATAATGTGTATAACTCCTGCAATGACAATACTAAACGGATCGATTCATTGTGATAATAAAAGCCTATTAGAATCATGGTATTACGATACTTTCATCTTTATCTTCAGACTATTTGTTTATTACATAAACATATATATGTATACTGTTGTCATGAATACGAGTAGCATTACTGTCTTCCTCGATGACAATATTCATTAGAATAGAGTAGATCTCGATTGCATTGCTATTCTTTGTTTTTTTGTAGTTTTTATTATAATATATTGTTTATTTCTAAACATATTATATATAACGAGATTTGATAAGACAATATTGTTAATTTTATTTTCTGTATTATACTTTTGTTTCTCGTTCTCTTTCTTGTTCATTTATCAATATCTAGATACTTTTTGCAGTTCACATATGTGTATTGCATGTTGATATAAAATCAATTCATAAGATCCGTTGTTAACATAGTCAGTCTGAAATTACTGTGAATGTCAACTATCTATAGAATAGACCTCCAGTAATTTTTGATTACAACATTGCATTAATTTTCAACAGAAGAAATTAACAATGCATGTCGTCAATATATTATCATATTTTAAATTTCATGTGTATTATGACCGATTATAATGAGAACTCTAGAAATTTTCTTAATTACGATCCAGATGTGAATGTATATTGTAGTAGAAACAAACATCTTGTTTTTTTTTCTAAAACATATTTTCTGCTTTATACCTTATATGTGATTCCCAATAAATGTATTGGAAGATGGAGCGCATTTCATACTTTCTCGCTTTCTATGATGTAATTAAATATAAACGATGTGTCATCATAAAATCTACAAAAAAAAAACAAAGCGAAGAAACTCAATTAAGGTCTACTGTATATCATATTTCCAATTACATCTATCTCAAGCACAATACACCCTTGTGTAGCATAGAGATAGGCACAAGAATATATAGTAGAGGAAGAAAGAAGTGGCAACCATGAAATTTTTTGACAAAAATTTTGAGTAATTGAATTCAACATTTGGAATCAACATATGAAAAAAAGACTTGGAGAAAAAAATGCCATGACTACAGTATCATTTTATTTAACATTTAGCCGTAGTCTAGATTTCCTTCAGAAACAGGATAGTGAGATCTTCTGAAACAAAGTGAAAGTTTCTGAATACTTTCTAATGTTCTGATTTTCGTATTTTCTACTGGATTTATCTGGTTTTCCTCCGAATTCTAACTGTTTTTGATCGCAATTTCCTTAGTGGGAAAAAATATACTTATAACTTGTCACTACCATGATGTTCAATTTAAAATAAGAATGAATAGTAATTATTCTTGGGAACAATTTTATATACATATGTGAATTAAAACACGATTGTTAAAGATAAATTGAAAAATAGTAAATATGAACGATGATATCGAATCGATAGTATATGAATTATTTTTTCTTTCGTAAAATTTCTTACCTATATTAATATA